CCGACGCAATCTGCCCAAGAAATGGGTGGATTTTTCCTCTCCACTCCGGCTCCCCGCCGCCCCCTGGCTGCTGGCAGCGAGGTCTGCAGAGCCCTGTCGCCCAGGAGTTGGGAGGGGGTGATCCCGGAGGAAAGAGACCGCTGCCCCCTTGCAAGTCATCGAAATCTGCCTGCCGCCAGGCCTTGGCACAGGGGCTGGCGGCTGCCCTCCCACCCTCCAGGCCTTCGGCGAGCAAGGCCCAGTCAGCCCTGAGACCCCCCAGGGCTCGCTCTGCCTCCCTGCAGGGGACTTGCTTTGTGGTGGCTCCAGGCTCCTGCCAGCCCCACAGACCCTGAAACCCAGCCCGGAGGGCGAGCTCCTGGCCCGCTCCCAAAGCAGCCTCTGGTGGGGGGGGCCCCCATCCCCAGCGCTGGGGAGGGAGGGGCCTGGGCAAAGGGGAAGCCCTCTGGGTAGTGCTGGGTGGCTGGAGCCCCAAGGCTTTTGCTGGCAGCTCCCGGCGCCCAGTGGGCTCCTGGGTGCAGATGTGAGGGGTGCGTGCACGCAGGAGGGGTGCAGGACCGGGGGATTTGGGGCTCAGGCCTCGTGGCACTGTTGCTAAAGTGGCCCCACCCACGATGAGTGTGGTGCAGGAGGGGCCCTGGTTAGGGACCTGGGACCTGTGGCAGGGGTGGGTGTCCTCTCTGGCTCCCCCTGGGGCGGGGGTGGGCCTGGTGCCCTGGCAGCGGGGCAGAGGAGGCTGGCGCGAGCTCCCAGCCCTGGGCGGCATCGGCGCCAGAACACGTGTAAGGCCCCCTGGGAGCGCAGGCCTGACCGGGTCACACATCGTAACAGGGCTTCGCGCGGCTCCTAGTGGGGGACGAGAGCGCTTCCCCGGGCCTCCCATTCAGCTTCCCCGGCATCTGGGAAGCCCCCGCCCCGGCAGCACTCTGCCCTGCCTGGTGAGAATTAATCTCCCTTCCCAGGTGGGGACTGAAGGGGGACTTCGGGAGGAAGGGGCCGGCCTTCCTGGCACCCGCCTAAGATGGGCACCAGCTCCCCGGGTGCTCTCTGCCGCGTCCCCGTCCGCAGAGGGCTCAGCTACAGCCGGGCGCTCCAGGCCTGAGCGCTGGGTGCGAGGTCGCGGGCTGAGCGGCTCCTCTGGTTTGTTTTCCCGGTTAACGCGGGATCTGTGGCAGCGTCTGGGTTGGAAGCAGCGAATTCCAACTGCTGGGGACGGGCGCCACCTCCCAGTGCCAGCGGGAACTGCAGGCTCTGCCCAGCATCCATGCTGCTGGGGTCCTGCCCGCTGGGTCACCCATGCTCCGCCTCCTTTCTCTTTCAATAAATGTTTAACGGGGATTTAGGGCCGCAAGCTGTGCCCGCCCGAATCACTAACACCGGCTTCCCACCGCAGAAGGACACTGACCACTTATTTTGTTGGAGCAACTTCAAGTCCAGCACAACCCAATCTTCAAAACCCTCACGCCACCCCTCTCGGAAACCGCAGGTATTTGCTTACTGCCTACTAAGCGCAAGATGTGGTGGGCACAGCGCGCTGCAGACCCCAGACCCAGCCACGGCACGAGGCACAGCCTGCCGCAAGCCCCAGGACGAGAAGCAGCACCGAAAGACAGAGCAGATCCCCAGGCACCGTGTGTGAAGGGAAACGCCCCTGCC